CGTTATTTTTTTTTTTTGCCATACTTCGCCATTTGTTTTTAGTACGATGGATTACACAATTTAGAAATTACTTAACGACGAAAAGACTGTCATAAGAGTCTTTCAGGAGAAAGGAACAATTCATAATAATAGACTTTGTTCTCAAAATCATCCGATGAAATTAGCTTTTAACTCAAACAAAGCTCCTATATGGCGTTGTTACGTACGTTCTTGCTGTAAAATAAAAAAGGGTTGAATTGACATCAACTGATTTTTGCACACTTTAATTAGAAATCAGCCGCACTGCCCAACTGGTATAGTGGTTAGAGTCGCGGACTGCCGGGCCGAAAGGCCCGAGCTCGAATCCCGGAGAAGGCATGGATGTTTGTAACATGTATAGTATCGGTGCGGCATTGCGGCATTCTAAATATGCGGGGAGCTGAAAGTTTTTGGTTTGGTGAAAGTCGCGTGTGGTTTGGAGGAATGGGAAAAGGGTGGGAGACCCTCGGACCCGTCCTCCAGGGATTGCTCTCCATCAAAATTGGGCAGCGAAACTGAGCCAAATAGCACTGTCCCCTCCGTTTCCGTGTAGTGCCTAAGGGCGGAGCACGTAATAAATAGAAAAAAATAGCACTGTCACCTATTAGGTGCTCAAGGCTGTTGCCAACTACATGCGTAATATAGCGGTCCTTGCCACGAGGAATTTCGTGGGCTTGGGCTGACTACGTCAGACAAGTGAGCATAAGCAACAACAACTGATCAGCCATAATACGATAATAGATTGGAATAGCTACCTTAAAGTCTTTCCACAAAAAGGAAAAAACAACGTTGGACGTGGTCTTTAGGGACAATGGGTATTCGGGAATTTATGCCTAGAAAGTAAAGAATATTTGCTGCTCGCCAATCTCGATCGTTGTGTTACAACACTGATGACTGCTATTCAGAAAAATATCACGGACGGCAGCATTATATTTTCATACTGCTGAAAAGGATATAAGAAAGAAGAATTAAAAAATGCTGAGTATGAACATTTTACTATGAATCACAGTTGTAATGTTGTAGACCCCGAAAATGAATGCCATATCCAAACTGTGGGGCAGTGCTAAACGTCAGCTGGGCACTACTCGCGACCATTTAGAATCAATATTAGATTTTATGGGGCGTCGATTATATTCAAAAACTGATTTTTTTTTCCAATATTGAATACTATTTGTAATTTTATACCACCTGTTTAGATTGAATTTCGTTTTGTTTTGTAGACTATTGTGGATTAAAAAATTAAAAAGAAAAATTTACTTTCTTTAGGAAATAAGAAATTAAAAAAAAGTTTATTTTTTACAGGACTATTTTTTTTCGTCTTTTGAGCTCTATTATTATTTCATAATTTTATACTTGGCAATAATTGGTGGGAGGGAAGGAAAAAAAAAAAAAAAAAGCACATTTTTAACTAACTCCGCTGTAACGGAATAGTACCGATTTTCGAATTTACACTTTTCTTTTTAAAACCTGAAAGCATTGGTTTCTTAAAAGTACCTTTATTTTTTCCCCAAAAGGAGGTCTTTTACCTGACAAGCGATTATGCGAAAATGGCCGTAACATGAAACTATATGTTACGACAAAACCGTTTGGAGCTGCAGTGTTAAAAATTGAAAAAAGAAGGACCTCCTTGTTGGAAATTGATTCCGTAACTATTTAACATGTGCAAGATGGTTCAGACTACCGAAAGGGGTATAAAACGGAGCAACTTGAAGAAGTTGGTTGCAGTCACTTTTACTGTGAATCGTAAGCAGAGTTTAAATTACGCCGGAGCCCACCGAAGCCCGGATTTGATATTTCTCAGTTTCTGAGATGAATTGTGACAGAGTGCATCGGAGCCCTAAATAGAAGAGCTTCGGCACGTCTTTTGTGTAATCGAACCGCAATTTCAGTAGAAAATTCTTTTGATTTCGAAATTATTTTAATATCGATTCTAACTCCTAAATTCCCTGGGAAATAAACCTTTTGACGGAGTTTGAGACTTTTAAAGAAAGAAAAAAACCCCAGCCACATGTCACAAATTTATTCTCCAAAAAGTTAAGACAGCGCGTAAATTTTCCCAAATTATATGTTCCAGAAATGTTCCCGTTCCCGAATGTAACAGGAGTGATCACTCTGGTCGCACGCGGTCAATGCTAACAACTTTCCATGGAAAAAAGCACCTGAAGATTTTTTGAAACGATATAACGAAACAAGGGGGACAAAAAATGTCACTTGCATAGAACTTTCTGTTTATTCTCAGCTTGTAAAACTCTCGTATTCAAAGAATTTTTTTTTTTTTTTTTTTGTCTGGCACATCCTGCTTGGATGCTAGAATTATATCGACAAGGGACTGCAGTCAAAATATGATGGTCTCTTCTCTGTTTTCATAGCTATACATCTGCATTAAAATTACCTTCCGTATTCTCACACTGTTTCTAGCATTCTCCATATTTTCATTAATGAAGCTTTGTTTCGTTGGTATGCTAGGGAAATAATTCTTTGTTTCTACCTTGTATTGAAATAGTACATTTTAATTTATATTCAGGGCTTAAATTCAGCTGGAGCCTCGCTAAGCTATTTTTTACTTTTTGAGTGAACCCGATGTATACGAGATACAATTTATCATAAATTGAATAACTTATTAAATTTTTATTTAGAGCTTATTTTTATTATTAAATTAGCTTACTTTTATTATTATTATATTTTACTACTTTTTATTGAATTTTAATTATACTTATTTTAACTACGAATTAATTTATTATTTATTTATTTTTGTTCCTGTTCCCAGACGGCTTTCCATAGTGCCCGGCATTTCTAATTTTAAAAATTAAGCGCTGACAGTTTCGTAGACGCAACAACAGGTGTTCACACTCAAAATATGGAAAGAATGTGGGGTTTAGCCAAGTGGCGTAATAAAAAACACTAGGGCATGGCTTGACATCACCTCAAATTATATCTTTCGGAATTTATACGGAGAAAATACTTCCGAAAAAATGATATTTTTTATGAATAATTGAAAACAGTTTCGGAAATAGGGCTTTGTCATAACGATTATTCAAAATATTCGATCTTAGCATACGGTACCCATGAGATTTGGTAACTGGTGACATATCGTATGGGTTTAAACGCATCATTTTGGTGTTGGCGACAATTTTCAAGATCTCGCCAAGACTCCGTACCCTATATTAGGATTTTACCAAATATTCTTTACATATGAGTATAATTGTTATTATTATATATTATGTCGTTTATTTTTATATTCGCACTTCACGAGTTTGGTGAATTTACAGCTGTGATCTTGACGTAAAGCTAAGGTTGGGCCGCTGTAATAAGGAAGTACTCTTTCTTATAGCGAACAAATAAAATGAAAGACATTGGGAGAGGAAATATAAACCTGCAAAATCTATAAACTTATTTGAAAAATCACTCTTTGTGAAGTAAGCAAAATGAATGATTTTTATATATCAAACTAGGGTCTGATCTTAGTATACAGTACACACGGGATTTGGCGACTTTTGGCTACTTTTGATACATCGGATGGGTTCGAACGCGTCTTTTTGGTGTTGGTGACATTTTTCAAAATTCAGCCAAAGCCGTGCCGTATACTAGAATTTTACTAAATAACTAACATAAGTTGAAGAAAATTTGAAATAGCTTACTTTCTTAAGTCTTTCTCATCTGATATTTCAAAGAAGCAGGCATTTTAAACGAGTATCACCACTTCTTTGAATACAAGTCTAGATGACTGCATGCTTTTTTGCTCAAAAGAAATGAATTCTTATACTGAATAAATCATACAGTTCGCCACTACATGCTTTAACCAATCCAGAGGAGAAATGAAAAGGATGACTATAAACCCAGTTACTCTTTTAAAAACGCATAGTCTGTTACAATACTGAATCAAACAAATACGAAATTTACAGGAAAATTACACTGTTTACAAAATACCACTCCGCTTAACTAAATTTCCTGTTTTCTTAAAAGAAAAATTAATTTAAAAAGACTTAGCTAATTTTGATTTGCATTAGTTCTTTTACTACTAATCACTTTAGTCAATTCGTTAGTTCAAAAATATTGTTTGAATGTTGCCATTAAAATAATGAAATTTTATACGTAACTTTTGCATTATTCGTTTTCCGTGTTTTTTTTTAAAAAAAGTATGGATATTTAAGTTCGAAGCCCAGTTTCAATTCAAGAGGAAATTGGAACATTTTTATAAAAATATAACCAGAATATTATACATTTAATTTTTCTACTTTAAAATTCATCGGAAACTTTTATAATCGTCTGTTGGACAATATAAGTATCCAACAGACGTGGCTATTTGTATTTAAACTCGTTAAATTTAACTTTTACTATTCAGACGATTCTCTTAAAGAAAAAAAACCTAACTCATATGAAGAATGTCTTACTTTCAATAAGCAAAATTTATAACTGGACAAAATCATTTTAAATTTAAATTCTGACACGAATATAAAAGTGAAAAGAAGTGACAGAAATTTTTAATGAGAATTAAACTCTGAACATATTTCAGGCAAAGTTATCTTGAATTATGGTTGAAAGGCTTTTTAACCCTTTTAATATAACATAATTTTAGGTCATGAGCGTATCAAAATCATCATAAACTTTTATGAAAAATTTAAATATGAAGTATATAAGTCTATACACAAACTGTAATCTGCATGTTTTCATAACGTCAGCTAGTAACCTTATTAAAGTCACATTCTGTTATTTTAAACTTTTCTTATACATACTTTTAATGATATTAACAGTTTTCTTAAATGTCATAGCTAAAACATAATTTATTTTGCTCAGATTTGTATATAATAACACAGGTTCTTTTCGAGAAAGGTATTCAGTGTTTTGCATTATTACCATGTAAAGCAGTAGATTCATGGAAAAGGCACTTATATTATGCAAGTGTTTCGAGAAATTACACTTAAAAGTTTTAAATACAAATACCACTTGCTTAAAGCTTAATTTATTATTTTAAAATGAAATTTCTAGCATTCTTCTTGAACTACGTTAGTGTCCAGTTTTACAGTGTTGAACGGATCGAACTGAATTAAGATATCAGTCCACTTCGAACAGGACGAATTTAAGCAGTCTGTCTGAATATTTTTGCCTGGAACTGTTTGTCGTTCTGCACTAATTTCAGAGGATTCCCCACCCGATGTTCTGACACTCTCCATTAGGGGCCAAAATTTTAATTTCGAACTATCGTTCTGTTCTTCCTTAAAAGCGGAATTTATCAGTTCTTCACAATTTTTGAACTCATGTTCTAAATCTAATGTATTTTTCTTCAGGTTATTATGGGAAAAGTAACTGTCTCCAATAATAATCGATTGTAAATCGTCACTGTATTTCCCAGTCTTCTTTTCGCTTTCTCGTGCTGAAAGATTCAGAAAAGAATGACTGGAAGTTTCGTCATCCAGATTAATCAATAAATTGTCGCTGCATTTATTTGTATCCTGGTGCTGGGCTAATATGGTAGCTTGCTGAACACTGAATGCAGAATTCCTATTGCCATCTTCTTTTAAATTTGATGTAACTGGACATTTGTTACAGATACTTAGCTTTTCTTGGGAATTGCTTTCAATAATCGACAAGCCACTCTTTTCAGACGAATTATAGTTAACTTTACTCTTACAACCTGAGCGTTTCATTTTACTGACTGCTTTGGATAATTTTTTATGCTTTTGATTCAGAAGCTGAGATTGCAAGGAAGCGTGTGACATTTTAGAATACAGATTGAGCTCCTTCAATGTTTCGAATTTATAGGATAAATAAAAAGGAATATCTTGGATGACGGCATCTGTCAACGAGGCAACATGTTTGCTTATCTTACAAAACAGCTTTCTGTACGGTAGTAAAGTTTGAGAGAACAAATTACATCTGGACAACAGAAAAAGATCAATTTTTTGCATACATTCTAACTTTTTCCCATCAAACTGCACTTTTAACTTCTTAATGTGTGCTTGAACTCTGCGAAAATTTTTCATCTTTCTCTTCATGTCGGGATCTAACCCTTCTGATTCATTTTTCATCCACATTAAACCAGATCTGTAGGATTTTCGGAATTTTTCCATTTTTGCGACTGTCTGAAGCACATCTACGGTGGCTTTGAATTGAAATATTTGAACTTCATGATGGATTTTTATGAGTGCTGTCCTCAAAGGGGCTTTCTGATGTGCATTGCGACTAAAAATTTTGCCACAGTCAGATAGCAGGTGTCCAGCAGAGGTTTTATCTTCAAGCCCATATTTCACCAAAGCCAAACCTAAATTGTCCTCCTGGTCCATTAGCGTCTGTAGGGCATTACCATATCTAACTAAAACTCCCATTAAACTATTAAAGGAATTATCTGCTGCTTGTAGAAGTTGAATCTTCGAGTCAAGGTTAGAATCGCTGGATATAACACAACCGTCTATCTGCTCACCAAAAGATTTGCCAACAGCTTGCCTTGCTTCCCAATATGCCTGTTGCATTTTGGTAACGGCTGAAGATTTTTCAAGCTGCTTTGGATTCATTAGGATAAGAAACTTTGAACTATTCAATTCAAATTTTAACACTGAAGTTTAAGGTAAAGATAAATAAACCGGAATTTGCATTTGACTGCATTTCGTGATCGTCGTTAAAACTTGAAGGTTATATGCATACAGATTCAAAACAGAATACTATGGTTTGTGTTACATAAAATATGTTTTGAAATTTTTTTGTTGTTTAATAATGACTTCATTTGAATTCATTTTTGCATCTTCAGCTAAAACAGTCAATCATCAAACCAGGTGAAACAAAAAAGAATTCAACAGCTTTGAAAACGTTAAGACGGTTATTTTTTTTCTGACTACAACAGGAAATTTAACTGCGACTGTCACGCAAAATGTAAGGTAAAAGAAGTAATAAGCATTGAAATTTAAGCTTTTAAATTAGTTCATGCATAGAGTTTCACTGTCATTGGAATTTTGTCATCGATTTTAATTGATTTCCTGGTGATCTATAGAGTTCAAATTTTGTACACATACTGTTTATCGATGACGATGCAATGTTGGTGAAATGATTTTTCCAAAATTTTATTCCGATCTTTTTTTCTCAATTAATATTTAAACGGTTTTTCCCACCTATCTCAGTTTAACGAACAGATTAAGCATATCAAAATTTTACTATTTTCACAATTTAAAAATCTTTTCAATGAAACTCGCATGAAAATCGTAACTTATTTTGGTACTGTTCTATAACAACACCGGGTTCAGAAATGTATGCGTGTATGCATGTATGTATTTGCTCATATATGCATGTATATATGTAAGTACAAATTTATGTATATGTATACATGTGGACATTCGCTCCTACAACTCATCCGCCTTTTCCTAAATCTGGAACAGCTACAGTAGTGAGATACTTCAAGTTGTGTGAGGAAATGGGAAGAATTCCATTCACATGAGGTTTTGATGTGGCGATGGATTGAGTTGCACTATTCCGCTCGACAATGTTGCTTGGTGATGTAATTCCATTTCATGATGAATAGAACTTTTTATTTTACTTCCTTTCACTCTGTACATACCCTAATAATGTTTATTCTTTCATTATTAAATATCTTTAAAATGCCACTGCCTTCCTCTATTTTGATCCTAACCTCATCCCACATACATATACACATATACACAAATTTATGCACATAAAAAACATACAAACACATGTTAATACGTTCATACATTTCTAAATCCGGTTGCGATAACAGAACAGTACCCTTATTTTAAAAATTTTTGTGAATTTTGGTAATCGCTCGTTTTTTTTAGACCATTTGACATTTATCACTGTTAAAATCGTAAATGCACCGACTCATCAAGTTTCAACATTTAAAAAATGCATCGCCATCGATAATTTTCTTTTCTAAAAATTTTCAAAGATTACATGTATGTGTAAGCAAACACACATACATATCTGAATCCGGTCGCGATAACAGAAAAGTACTAATTGCCCTTTGTCTATACAGGGTGTATCAATACAGCGGTGACAAACTTTCAGGAGAAATAGAATACACCTCATACGATGGAAAATCACATAGCAATGCATGTTCAGAAACGCTATCCTGGAGCGGTAATTACGACACAAAAGACAAAAACCTGAACCGTGATGCAGGCCTCACTTCTCTGGCGCATGAAAGATCGCATGGAAAGATGCATGACGCACGGTTCCTGCATCACGGTCCGGTTCGTAATTTCGAACACCTTCTTTTATGATGATTGTTGTCTCTTTATGTTGTGTTTTCTTTGCTTTGTTGTGCTCCGAATAATAAACACGTTTTTTCACCCCGTTTGTGTCCTTTCTTTTTTGACTTTTGTGTTGTAACTAAAGTGCCAGGAAAGCATTTCCGACCATGCAATTCCTATGTGATTTCCCATCGTCTAGGTATACTCTATCTCTCCTGGAAGTTTGTCACCGCTCACTGAAGGTCCTCTCAAGGGATTGACGGTAAAGGAGGTTGATGGCGGGAGATCCTCGAACCACCTCCCTCAAAACTGGGGTGGAAAGCTTAAAAGTTAGCTAGGTTCAGCAGTACCTCAATTACCTGTGGTACTACGGAGGTGCTGGCCTAGCTTTTACCTATACCTGTACTGATACACTCTGTATACTTTTCAATCGCCCCTGAACTTGATTTTTCGCTCTGCAAGCAAAAAGACCTAGCGGGTGCAAAACAAGACATTTGTCTGACTTGTCTTTCTGTTCCTATTTATTAAATAAGATTAAATTTTTATCTAATATGAACATAAAAATTTTCTTTTTCTCTTGTAAGGTTTATCCTAAAAGTTTCTAACAGTTAATTTTAGTTAAAGCTATTTTCCTGTCCTTCTTGATTTCAGCTTACAATTTCCTACCAGAATATGTTTTTAAAATCGCGGTGAATGAAAATGAATAAAAGTGGTATTAAGTCGAAGTTCCACTGACTTCGAGAGAGAACCTCAGAGTTTCTGACTAGCGCGCGTCCGCCTTTTGGCTACGTCTCTCTCTAAGCTATTACTACACTCGGCCGTATTTCAGGCCCTTGATAGCCCCGCTAGCTTATTAGATATTTAGGGGCCAACTACTTAGAAATTTAATAGCTTCGGCTATATCTTTTCAGTTAAGTTTTATTTCTGATTACTTTGAGTTCACGCCCAAGTGGAGGCTCTGCTCTGAGAAAAGAACCGATTGTTAAATTCTTATTTTGAGCAATAATGGGTAATTAAACCTTTGAGTTTACTGTTACTTCTTGTCTGTTCCTGAATTAAAGCGATTATTCGCTTAACTGTTCACGAGGTTCCTACACATTTAGCTATTAGACAAAAGGGTGGAACTCCACAGGTTCATTAAATCTTGCTTCGATTTATGAACCATACTAGAAAAATAATAATAATAATAATAATAATAATAATAATAATAGGCGACAGATTACCTTCAAGAATTAGTTGTCCTGAATGCATTAGTTTTATCCGCTGAAGCTTAGAGACAGAGCAAATATAAGACGGTTGTATTGGAGTATTTCTTTTTCCCATAAAAATCAGTAATATATTTACAACTTGTTGACGACGTCTGACTGCATCACGCAATAGTGTCTTTGACCTTAAACGCCAAAATACATCTCTCGATACATTAGCGCCACTTTTCTTCGCATCATAGATCTTTTTTATCGATTTTCTGGATTGCTACCACAGCACGCGATTTTCATAACGAATACGTAACATAATGAATGCAGAATTATTTTATCAGAAATATTACATGTATGCAACAATAAGGCTAAGAAATAATAATATTTAAATCGAATGCTTGTGATTTAAGTTACGAAACATGGTCTGAGGGTGGGGCACTTCCAAACGCTAATTAAATTTGAAATCATTCTCATCATTATATTCAGTACCCTGAAGAATACATTTCAATGTAGTCAAATAATTACAATTCTGCCGTCCAGATGGTATAGTAGTTCAGGAAGCCTACTGCGGTACAGAAGGGCCTGGGTTCGAATCCGGAGAAGGCATGGATGTTTTTAAATGTAAAGTGTCTTCGCGACATGAGGGCACACTAAATATATGACGAAACGAAAGTCCTCTCATGTGGGTTGGTGGTAGGGGATAGAGGTGGGAGACCCTTGCCCCCCTGGGTCAAAACTGGGGTGGATGTAGAAGTCCAACCTCCTCTTGAGGCTCTGGCAACTTTTGCTCCATGAATCTCATGGATAAGACAAAAATTATAATTCTATGGGAATTTGATTTGCTCTTAATTTCGACAAAGGGGAGTTTTGTACTTTCATTTAATACAAAATAAGTAATGATATCATTGGCAGTTTCTGAAATTCTATATTTGTTTCTAGACATTAGAACTGTCTGACTGTTTTTTACTATTAGCGCATATTAGTAAATGCACTGTACATTTACGAGCGTAAGTGATAAAGTACGATATAAATAAATTGAAAAAAGGTAACAATCAAACAAATAATTTACAGAGTGTGTTCACACACTTTTGTAATGATTTTGCAAAGCTCTTTATATAAATATATATATATAGATATATACATAAAACTAGAATTTTATTTTCTAATATGTTCACTCTGATATTCCTCTTGTTGAGCTACCATATTACATCTTGATTTCTAAGACAAAAGTCCTTTTCATAAAACATCCCTGATTGCCCTTTAAAAGAGGGAGTATATTAAGGTATTTCTCCCGCCTTCTTAGCATGCCTTCGTGGTGTAATGCTAAGCACGCTCGGCTCGTATTCGAGAGTCCGAGTCCAACGCGCAGAAATCTATAGGGGACACATCAGGGGACTTGGGTTGGACGCATCTAAAAGGGAATAGTTTCGATTCCGGTTTCATTTCTCACTTTTTCAAAAAATAGAGCAGTAGATTTAGAGGTATGGCTGGGATCCTTATCCTAAAGGAACTGAACACAGTGAAGATTGTTTGGATAAAGAGGTGGAATTTCTTCTCTAAAAATAGGTGTTAAAGCATGTTTCTGATAATAATCCGAATTAATTTTGACATTTTTTTTTTCTACTTTCTTTATTTTCAGTTTTCCGTTATAAGAAAATCCAATAATAACCATAAAACCTTTAGAAAAACTTTCCTTGTTTTCTCTGAACCAACATATTAAGTCTTTTTCTCCTCTTTTACGACCATAAATCGATCTTTTTCTATTGCAATGTTGTTGTTTTTGTCTTGTCCATATTATATAGAACAATGGTTGCCAGAGCCTACTCCGAAGAGAGGTTGGACTTCTATTTTCCATTCCCAATTTTGAGGAACAGCCCCCCCCCCGGGAGTCTCCCACTCCTCTTCCCTTACACCAATCCACACGAGAGGACTTTCGGCTTCCATACCTCACCGAAATTGTACATTTACAAAGATCTATGTCTTCTCTGGGATTCGAAACCGCGCCCTTGAAAAGACTCAAAAATTTCAAGGAAACGGACAGTGAATGCCGTGATTATTCGAGCCAAAGATATTCACTTAGAAATGAATTTCAAGAATTCTTTATCTGCTGGCTGTTATTTT